TGCCATGATAATTTTATAGAAGGACAGGTTATGTTATATGATTAGAAAGGATGTGCAGAACATTTTTTTCTGTAAACTGAGTCCTCTACAAATCTTGAACAAGTAATTGCCACTTTCTCATTTTGTTCCAATAGATAAAAGCTTAGAGTAACCTCATGTTTTTGAAATCTTATATTTCAATTAAAACAGATCATAAATAATGAACAGATTCTTAAGGGCTGCGACATTTTGTGGCTGGTTTAAGAGTTCACTTAGTTAAAAAACAAAGAACAGCACTGAATTCCCTAATTTTATCATTAATTAACCTAAGAAGATCCATATGCTAGAACAAGGCCATTGCAGAAGAAGCTCAATTTACAGGTCTATGATAACACAAAAGTACAGACATTCTGCATAGCAAAGTAATGAAAAAAATCAAGTCCAATTTTTAGAAGTCTGGGCTAAAGATGGCAGAGTCTTCTTTAAGCACAGAATAATTAACTGATCTCCCTAAGTCACATTAACAGTTCTCATTTTAGTACCAGTATTGAGACATGAAACAAATGTAAAGTTAAAGCATCAAAGTGCAAAGGAAGTTCCACAATACAATCCCTCTCTTTGTCACAGCTTTCCACACGCTAAGTAACAGACTGACAACAACTGACTGTGCCTATAATTAGATTGAATTATATTTCATTCCTTGCAGGCTTTGTTTTGTTTCTATTCATGTTTTTAAACCATTTCTATCAGTTCTGTTTAGAAGACTAGCTAAATGCACAAGGAATCTTGTTTTTATTTCCCACTCCCTGGCACCTTAACAGCTTAGCTAAAGGTAGAAGTTCATTTTGTCTTTTTACCAAAATTCTGCAACCAACAGAATATTTCTGTTCTAGTTTAAAAAAAAAAAAAAAAAAAAAAAAAAAAAACCCATAATAAGGTTCACTGAAAGTGCCTTTGTATTTCCTACACTGCATTAAGTCTGGCAATAAATACACCTGTAGAATTGGTACAAGTATGAGGGCTGATACAGGGCAGAGATACAGCCTAGTAACCAATAACTGTAAGGAGAGGACCATCTAGTGGTCACTTAGCCACATTTCATACACCATTTTAAAAAACATTTGAAAATGCTATCATCAATGAGGCTGTTAGCAGCTATCCTTCCAGGTTGCTTTCTGCTTATCTCACAGTTCTCTCTTGAGCAGACAAGTCTCTAATACCATTTTCCTTAATACATACAAAAGACAAAAAAAAAAAATCCATCCGATCAAGAAATGAGAGTTTACCCATATGTTTTATATCCCCATCACTTCTCACCTAGACAAACCAGCAGACGAACAGATCAAACCATACAACAAGGGTACACTGATGCAAACAGGAGAGCAAAGCTTACACTGGAAGAAGCTGACTGGGAACATGTGATATACAATGAGTGAGTGAATTCTGATTCTTTCACTGAACATTTCAAATGACATCCTTCCCCAAATACCACATAAACAAAAGCTGTCAGAAATCCTACTCCCTAATAATACGCACAGGCAGAGGTTTATGTAAGCAAATGTTTAACTCCAAAAAGCTGAAGGAGTCCTGGCGAAGCTTCATAACCAAACTGAACCACAAAACAGCAGTAGTGTACTTGCTTCTAACAGCTCAATTCTGCTTAGTTCCTAAAAAGCCCTGTTAGGTTTCCAGGTCAACCAACACCCAAAAGAAAAATTTCAGGCAGTTTTTCCCCCCCAAAAAAAACTTTCCTACACTTTTTGTAAACTAGGAGAGCAGACTGCACACCAAGACAACCTTATAAGTTTAAAACAACACTTTCTGGTCCAAACAAATCCAACAAATCTGTCTCTACAACCTTTGAATGGATCCAATGGGGACTGCAGGATTTTCAGCAATTCACAAAGTCAAAGAAACTGCCCATGCAATCTTTAAGCATCAACAGACTAACAGAGCACTTAAGGCCACAGCTACAGCAGCACACGCATGCTGGACAGCACAGACTGTGTCTGCACATGAGTGGAAACCATATTGTAAATTATCACAGCAGAAACTTGAATGCCAAGAGGTATTTTATTTGAGGTATGAGACAGCAGTAGTGAAGTGGTCATTTTCTTCAGTTCTCATTAAGTTGACAAGCAACTATTTGGAAGCAATTCAACAATAGCAAAAGAATAAAGCCACATAGAACAGTGTTAACTAGGAATGCAAAAAACTGCTAGTACAAAGAAAGTACTCAAAAAAAAAAAAAAGGCACAGGATAGCAGTACAAACCAGTGTACAAAAATTGACTTTTTTCTTTCGCCACTTTGAACCAGTATGGCTGCACATGTCGACTTCCTTCCCCGTGGAGGGTATAGAAATATGATTTCTATATAAAAAACCTACAGCATTGTCTTCAGCAAGAGAAAGCTAACCAAGACTGAGCAACTCCACAGATCGAGTGTTCTGTCACCCCCAGCAGAACTCTTTGTTTCCACAGATGAAAGATTATGTTCCTGGGGGATTTACATTTCCCCTCCTCCTCGACATTCCCACAGCCTGTTTTCTTGTACTTACTCCACTCAATTGCCTTTCTCCTCTGTTTGCCTCAGTAGATCTGTAAAAATGACCTCCGAAGTGCCTCTTTTAACTTCTCATTGCTTCAAGGATACAACAATGAGAAAAGATACGCATTTACTGCACAAGTTGCAGAGAAGGTAATAAATATAAAAAACCTTCAGCTAGTCACTTCTGTAGCATGATATAGAGCACAGACTGCAAAGCAGGCTCACTGCTGCACATTTGCAGCACTTACCCCATTAAGAATTAACCTTTCCTGTCAGTGAGATAAACTGCTAGAAAAATACCCAGCAAGAAATGCAGAATTGTGGAAGTCACACAGTCAAAACAAATGTGTATTTATTTATACAGCGGATGGCTCAAGCACAGCACAGAACATGTGCCAAAGACACACATACAGACAGCAGAACAGGCCAGGCCAAGCATCTATACACTTACTAAAGTTAACAGCACTTGGTAGGCAGCTCTACCAATTCACTTTGGTTGGTCTTGCAAGATGGAAAATACAGACATTATCATTCATAATCCCCCAGTAGAGAATGGGATACTTGAAGATGTTACATTAACAAAATAAACAACATACAGACCAGATTCAATGCAAAAGGCAAGGACAACACTAAATATACAGCCTTGACATGAAATCTAGTCAGATTTTCAATTAAACCAACAAAGAAGGATATTAAATCCAAGAAATACACACAAAAGCCACTTTCCAGCATCCACTTCACCTATTTCCCTGTTGCTTCAATACCTGCCTTAGAGAACATTCAGGTGCCTGATAACAGACTAATATACTTTTCCTAGATTTAGGTCTTAAAGCTCCTTTATCTCATGATAATAATGAGGATTAGTTATTACTAACAAAAACACCTGCCTTCATTCTTTATTAACATTTGTCACATCAAAACAAGACTCGAGGCAATTCTTTCCCCATAGCAATGATTACACTAAGGCAAATTGCAACATGAGAAATAAAGGAAAAGGAGAGCAGTTTGACAAGCTGGGAAAGAAAGTCTTACTAGAAAATAAGAGAAGTTTACAGACGCACTACAGTTCCCTTTGCTGCTCCTACTGAGTTTTTTCTGTCAACACTCACTGTTAATTTGACCCTCTTAGGAATTAGTGCTTGGCTGGCTCGGTAGGTTATGAGGTAAACATTATCTGGTTTTCCCAGCTTGCAAAGGTATTTTCCTCATTATCTGATTTGCATCCCACACAGCTTTGATAAGCTATCTTATGAGATCAATCCAACATCAAGTATGAGGTGCTGGATATCTACAGTAAACAAACATACATGGCACAGAAATCCTGAGGTTTTATTCTGCAGAACTGCATGGTGGCAAACGGATATTTTGTCTTATCACTAATAACCTTAGCTTATGATCCCTCAATCCATCCATTACTGCAGTTCCACTGCAGAATGTCAAGAACCTAGCTATAATCTCCTCACAGTTTTAGAGAAAAACCAGTATCTCTTAAACATTAACACAAATGTCTGTGCCCTGTACATTCATCCCTCAAAATATCCATAGTACCGCTCACCTTCTCATTCTAGTGTCTTAAGTCACACATTGCTCCAAAGTGTTTGGGCAAAATTAGCAGGTAAAAGTATCTTTGATCAGTATAAACTGTGATCAGCTGAATTCTCTCCCAGGGACAAGCTTGACTTTAAAGTAAGGCACTGAAGGATTATTACTAGAAAATTACAGCTACAGAACTGAGAAGGTTCTCTGACTAAATTTGACATATTATCTCAGAAGGCTTTTTGCCTATTAAAGTGGCATTAGTCTGAAAAGCTCAGGAACATTATTAGTGCAGATGACCATTATCTCACAATGCTTCTAGGAAAATATGCCTTCTGAAGAGAAAGTGCTGCATGTAGAGCAAATCTAAATGCTTCTAAGTTAAAAAAAAAAAAAAAAAAAAAAAAAAAAATCACAGAAGTTCAAAGACTAAAAATATATTTAAAACTAAAAGGACACCAATAATTGCTTTCCACTGTTACATTTCCCAATCTTAGCTTTGTTCTCTTTCTCTTTTTCCTAAGCCTCTATTATGCATCTTTAAAGATACTCTGTATTTTAGGATCAGAGAACAGAACTGTTGACTATTCTTTGTCTAGGATAAGAAAGTTGGCAAAAAGCAAACCAGAATTAAAGCACAGAAGAAAGCAATTACTTTGAAAGTTAGGGGTTTCTTTATTAGCTGTTTTTTTTCCCCCCACATCAATACTATCCTCATAAGCTCATTACTTCAAGACAAAGAATACAACTGTTCTGTGCTTAATACTCATTCTAACTTACTTTTGCATGCATCAGATAAAATACATTATCATTTAGAAATAGATCTCCTCTAGACAGCAGCAGCACATCACCTTTCAAAATTTAAGCTAATCCTCAACTGCTCTCAAGTAAACAACAGCTGATGAACAATATGCAGCAAGCAGCTTAACAGCTTACCTTTTACACCACCAAATGGTCCATAAGTCATATTACAAGCAGTTCGCTGAAGATGGTGCTCATACATCAGTTTGATCTGATACTGGTTACCATGCTCTACATTCCCTAGAGTTTCTGTAAAACAAAAAAGCATACATGACTGCATGAATCAAGGTTGTAAACAAGAACACACGGGCCCATACAGTTAAAGGTTTACCAGTTTAAAGAGCAACCTGAAAAGCACTTACTCCCATTGATTTTGAGATGAGTCGACACCACTGGTTTAAAAATAAAACCTGAAGGCAGAAATAGCAAGATGCTGAGATTTTATTGCTTACCCATAATTTTCTTCACGTCAGGCACACCTTCAATATCAGAAAAAGTCTACTCAAAAAGGTGGAATTCTTACGATTCTCCAGTTAGTCAATGGATATATTATATCCAACAAAGCAGGCTCAGCTGTAATGGTCCTCATTTCAAATTGAACTGTAGCCAGTTATAAACAGTATTTAATACAAACATACATTTAGGCTACACTCATCACTTGCCTCTACTCAGTCTAGCACTCAGTGCAGTGGTCAACACTGGTAAGATAGAGGCACATACACATAATATTATAAGATGATTTTTGTTACACTACATATTCTCTGCATGAACAAGCTTCCTGACCCCTTCAGGGAACTAGAAGAAATTGAAGAAAGTGAAGTTAAGGTTCACCTTTTGATAATCAAAGGATAATCAAAGTCTTTTCCAACCACACCCAAAGAAATTACTCATAGTAGAGTAACACTTGGAGAATCCTAACAGCAAGCAAAAAAATTTTTTTGACAACAGTCACATCAGCTTAGAAAGAGATGACTTGAGTGAATGAGATCTAAGCTAAATTTTGTCCTAACTTTAGGTACACAAGGATTATTTCAACATCCATCTTAAAGTGAGAAGATTTGCAGTTTATGTTAACCTTCCAGGCAATTGCTCCAACTAAAATCCACTAGTCTTTAAGTGGTTGCATGAAAGCAGCCCACATTCAGGAGAACACTGGGACAGACTTGGAGGACACAGCCCTGCTTGGACAAGTATTTACAGATCAACACCAGAGGAAAAAACAAGAGAAAGTCTGTGTATACTGACTGTAACACAATACCAATGCCATGCATTAATCAGCCTTGAAGGATGCTTTCATTTGTCCAGCAGGAGAGAGATTAAAATGAAACTGCACTATGAAAAGCTGACACACGACAACGTGTATACAACAGGTAAAATTCCACTTCCTGAAACAGTAATTTGATGTGGAAGCATAAGGAAGTAGTGACCTTTATTTTTGGAATGAGTTTATTTATAAGTATAAAAAAATTTAGATAATAGAAAGAGCATTCATTAGATCATGAATGCTTACATATTAGTATGAAAAGTCTATTAAAGGATTGTAAAAGTTTTGAAGATCAGTCTGGACTAGGCTCTGAGCAACCTGTTCTAGCTATCTAGACATCTAACAGAAGTCCCAGTTCACTGCAGGGGAGTTGGACTAGGTGACCTTTAAAGGTCTTTTCCAACTCAATTCTGTGACATAATTATAGAAATTGTTTCACATAAGTTGTCCTTAAACAACTATTTGACCATCTTGAACAGTAACTCCTATTTTGAAAATTGTAATGACAGCCAGTCATTCCCAAGCACTTTTACTCAGATAAATCCTTCAGGCTTTCATATGCTGACACTAAACAAGCTAAGACTCAGAACTAATCTCTGTGAGCAATGCCAGGACTTCAGTAAGTCAGATCAACTCAATCTTCCTGTGGGAAAGTAACTAGAACACCAGAGAGAGTAAAGCAGGACTCCAACAATACCCACTGCAGATACACAACACAGCATCTCATGCACTGAGCAGGTCACCAGATCTATTGGCCACTAGGAAATATTTGGACATAATTACTAATGTCTCTTCTTCATACATGAGTGAGAAAGGGAATGTGACCGCAGCTCTTCAGGGGTGATGAGAAAACACTCTGTAATTACTGAGTTTAGCATTTAACCTAATCCAACTTCAGAATGTGCTTCAAAAAAAATAAATAAATAATCACAAGATACTTTGCATCAATAAACTAACCTGAAACAGCATACACACAGAGTCGTCGGCAATGCAACACAGCCAGATGAAGTCCTTCAGTACCACTATAAAAAAATTAAATTAAAAAAAAAATAAATGGGGAGGAAAAAAAATATTTGTTTTTAGATATCATTCAATTTAAATGCATGAGAAAAAATTCAAGCAATATGTCAAAATTACTTCCAGGTTTAGGCAAGATCCTAAGGTTTGAGAGTGCTAGATGCTAGCCTAAAACAATCTAGTAGCAATCTTCCTAAATATACACTTCAGTGCTCGAAGCTAATTGCAAAATTAAGGTGAACCCCTACAGAACATTTTTCCCCCTGGATTTATGCATAGAAAGCATGCCAACTATTTTCCCAAGTCAGCTTGAAATTCTTTCCGAACAAGGTGCTGTCAAGCCTTAACGAATTAAGTGAACAAGATCATTTTCTCAAACAAATACTATTCAGCAGCCGTACATACTGTTTTCAAAATACGCTTTTGTACTAGCTGCATGGAACCCAAGTGAATTAAACAATAATGCAGAAGTCATAAAACTTGGAATTCAATGCTCATCTCCTCTCTCCTCCAAATTTCAGCAGTCTCTCTCCTGTACCTGGCCATTCATTTCTACTAAATTCATTAAAGATCATCAATTGAGGGAGGAAAGATTTAGGCTGGATGTTAGGGGGAAGTTCTTCACAAGGAGAGTGGTTAGGCCCTGGAACGGGCTGCCCAGGGAGGTTGTGGATGCCCCGTCCTTGGACGTGTTCAAGGCCAGGTTGGACGGGGTCCTGGGCAACCTGATCTGAATGTGTGTGTTTGGTGGCCCTGCTAGGCAGGGGGGTTGGAACTACATGATCCTTGAGGTCCCTTCCAACCCAGGTGATTCTGTGATTCTCTATCAAACCCCCTGCAAATGGCAACATTACATCTTGGGAGACTGGAATTACAAGAAAGTATTACTGGCATGCTTTCTTAACACCCCAGAATCTTCAGTATAACTTTCCTCCTGGTCGAGGTACTTCAAGAAAATAGTGTAAGTACCTGGAAGATATTCCTCTAGTTAGGCATTAAGTCAAATGCGTTCAATAAAGCATACTATAATATTCACAAATACATTCAATAGGCATCAATGTGGAAGCTAAAGCCATTTCACACCACCCAAAACAGGAGAAGAAAGCCATATCTAAGCCTTAAATAGTAATCAGCAACACAGGCTGGTGTCAACTTACGAAACAAATTTCCCCACTTCCACCTGTAGTATTGGCTCTCGTAACTGCACTTCCAAGAGCAAGTCCTCAGCTTGCACTTCATCTCCAGGTTTCACAGGATGTGGATTAAAGATACGGAGATATCCCATATAACTGCCCACAATAATCTTATCTACAAGAAATAACCAAGTGAGATTACAAAACACAACAGTACGCGTAGAATTAATTTCACTTTGAAGAGCTTCAAAGAATTCCCTAAAATGGCAAGGCATTTACATGGTGTTACAGGTGGTGTTACAGCTGGAAAGATTATCGTGGAGAAAGTGGGAAAAGAAACAAAGCAGGGAAGGAATAATCATGTGTATCCAAGGGCGTAGATTCACAGGAAAGACTCCACAGAGGAGAGATCTCCAGCAAGAGATCCTTCCCCAGTGGCAGCCAGCTTTTAAATGGGTCTAGGAGAGGTGCAGCCAGGCTCCAGCCTTCATCACACAGCTGAATCGCCTTCACCTGTGCTCCCATGGCTGACTCAATTCTTGCCCCAGGTGAGCAATCAGTGGCTCAGGCCAGGACTCAACGGTTCCCACACGTGGCTTGATTAACATTTATTATGCTCGGTCTTCTATGTCAGAGTAACTAGGCTAACAGTATTTAGTGTTTATTCCCCCCCCTGTAAAACCTGACAGCAAAGGGTGCATATAGCAACCACCTTGGTGGTAGCACTAACCATTGTTACCATTCTGCACTTTCAGACTGATGTCTGAAAACTCACATTATGGTTTTAAATATTTCAAACTTTTAGCTTCAACATCTAAGATCTGTGTATATGCATCACATCAGCTGAACTGTTAGCATTTATGTCTGCATTTGGATAAGTGTCAGCAGACCTAAACTAAATACAGATATTTACTACATCAGATGAACAGAAGAAAACAAGGCCTTGAGATTAGCTTTTGAGAGAGACCACTTACTTCAAACAGAAGTAGAATGGCTACATCATGCTTTTTCTGGAATTAGCATTTGAAACATGCAAATATTCACTAACAACTAAAAGACTAGCAACAAAAATTATTCACTAAGAAAAATGAAAGAACCAGCTCCCATGATAACTATGATAAATGCAAAAGAATTTCCAGTACCTCTTTCCTTTATATACACAGCATCGTTATCATAAATGCAAATAAGCCTCAAATCTTATAAAAGGTTCTGAGGAGACCTCAGTGTGCTTCAGCAATATACAAGGGGGGCTTATAAGCAGGAGAGGAATCAATTCTTTACATGGTCTAATAGTGATAGGAAAAGAGAGAATGACTTTAAACTATGAGATGAGATTTCAATTAGATGTTAGCAAGATATTCTTTACTCAAAAGGGTGGTGAGACACTGGTACAGGATACCCAATCTCTGGAGGTGTTCAAAGCCAAGTTGAATGGGGTCCTGTGCAGCTTAATCTTGAGAGGAGCAACCCTGCCCACGGCAGGTTGGAACAAGAGGATCTTAAAAGATCCCTTCCAACCTAAGTCATTCTATGATCTATAATGCTTAGAAGTAAATACAAGAGTTCTCCCACAAAACAATTTAAGCCCTGCTTTTGTATCAGTTTCACTTTTTTTTCCACAAAAAAAAGTTTCAATCTGTAACACCATCAGTCAATTCTTACTGAAAAAGGTCACACAGAATAGTAACATAGCTCAAATTCTCCTGAAAAAGGAAGAAAAAGAAAAGTCTGGCTACAGCAAAATCAAACTCAAGAACCCATAGTAAGCAAAAACACATCTTGAATCAAATGAACAGTCTTGAATAAGATGTTCAAATAATAAATATTTGGTAACCTAAACTGTCACAGCAAAGATCATGAACTACTGTAGATATGGCCTCAAAGAGACATCAAGTCAGTTCCATACTACAGCTTCATTAGTGACTGCACAGAACAGCAGGGTTAACTCGGTCACTTATTTCAATGTCCTCATATTTTCCAGGTACAAAAGGCTGTTCGCTCATTTAAAATACATTCTTATTAACTCTCACTCTCCTTTCCCCCCCACCCCCTTTCTTTTTTTCTTTCTACTTCTTTCCATAAGTCCTTTCATGGATTTCTGTATTTGCTCCCATGTTCTGTTTCCTGTGTTGCACTCAGTGAGCTGTTTTAAAGAAACTACCTACCACTGATAAAATGAGAGAGAAATTACTATGGAACACAAGCAAGAATTAAGACATTTAGAAGGGATATACGAAGACAAATGCATTGAATGTGTCTTACCAAGTCTACAGAGACATGTTAAAGATACTTTAAACTAACTAGCCAGTTAGCCTGGCTAACAAGTTTTCACTACATGTTGCTCTGGTAACAGCAAACTTGCAGCTGTGCAGTCATTAGTCAAGTAATTCTGGATTTACCTTGGCCACTATTATCGACATCAGCAACACACAGACAGCCTTGATCAAATTCTTCCTTCTCCCCAAGTACGGTGGACCACCAGTCTCGAGCTTTAAACAACGACATTCTTCTTCACTGAAAAGGAAGGAATTGTTGTTAAAACTGGCACTGACACGCACATCACTTCAAACAAGCCTCCTTTCTTACAATAACAACAGCTTTCACTATGCGTATATCACCTCTTAGCTTCACACTGCTCTTGTGGGAGTTGGATGCAAGTTAATCTCAGATGTTTCTGGTTGAGTCCTTAAATAAAAGTATTTTGTCACAAGTTCATAGAATAACTGTGATAGAAAAATGCAAGAAAGCTGCACCTTCCAGTCAAAGGAGCACTAAAAAGGTAAATAAGAAGTTTTTCAAGTTACAGAACTGAGATTCCCTTATCAAGGAGGAAAACAAAAAAGCACTTTCTGATCTGTCCCTGTTCATTGCAGGGGAGCTGGATTAGATGATCTTTAAGGGTCCCTTCCAGTTGAAACAAAACTAAGATTCTGATTAAGAAGCAGCAAAACCTACACCGAGTAATCGCCTTGCACATGCCCCAGTGACGTGCCCAAAGAAGTCGGTCAGACAGGGCACAAATCAGCTTTCCCGTTCCTTACCTGCTGCTATTTTAAGCAAGAGCAGAGAAATCCTTCTGCAGGCAGCCTGACAGCAACATTACCCAGCTCAAAGCTCACAGCTCCCTGAGGGTGCCTGGAGGGCTAAGTCAAACCTGAACCGTTACGCACAAGATGTAGCTACCAAGGGGTGGGTGGGGGACGATCTAGAATCATACAGAAGCTTAGAATGGAAGCGACCTTATCGCCCATTCAGTTCCAACTCGCCCGCCACGTGCAGAGCTGCCACCCACCAGCTCAGCTGCCACATCCAGCCCGGTCCTGAGCACCTCCACGGATTTGGCCACCTCTCTGGGCAGAGGTTTTACTCTCCGAGGGCTGACTGCCCTGTAGGAGACGAGTTCCCTTCCACACAGACGGAATCCTCCTTGCTTCGTGCCTACTTCTTCACACAGCTCTGCACGCGGACGCCCCAACCCCGAAACCCGAACCCCAGTCATTACGGCGGGATGAGGGGCGTCGAGAAGCGTTGGGAGCTTACCAAGCCTGCAGCAGAGCCTCACCGAGCGGAGGGACCCCCGGCCACAGGCAGGGGCGGCCCTCGGGACGCGGAGGCCGGCAGCGCTCCGGCCCCCTCCCCGCCTCCTCCAGCACCTCGGGCGCCGTTGCCGTGACAACGGGCGGCACGGCTATACTGGGAAACGTAGTTCGGCACTGCCGGAAGTGTGGCCGGCGCGCCGGGTTCTCCCACTTCTACCCGCGGAGGGGGGGGGGGAGGGTGGTGGTAAGCTGGAAAGGAGGAGGTTCGCCTGCGTTCCTCTGGAGCTTCCTCAGCTCCCGAGGGGTTCTCTCCCTTCTCGCAGCTCTCTCTCCCGCACTCCGGCTCGCCTCCCTGCGGTACGCTGTACCCCCGCGCTCCTCCATTCGCGCTCCCCCATTCGCGCTCGTGGTCCCGCCCGCCCTCAGCGCCCCGCGTGGGTTCGGTGCTGTGCTGCGCGCCCGCCGGGCGGGCTGGAGGCGGCGTGCTGCCATGGACCGCGCGGCCGTGGCCAAGGTGGGGGCGGTGGCCAGCGCCAGCGTGTGCGCCCTGGTGGGCGGCGTGGTGCTGGCACAGTACATCTTCACCATGAAGAAGAAGACGGGCAGGAAGACGAAGATCATCGAGATGGTACGTGTGAGAGGCCGGGCTCGGGGTTGTGGCTCCTGAAGGGCAACAGCGGGCGTGTCGTGCCTCTGTGACACTGGCAAGCAGCGCCCGTTCGGGTACCGCACAAAGATTGAGCCGTCTCGGTGTCGGCTTTGGTAGATTTGTTGTGTCGAGAGTTATTCAGATGACCGCTGGTGTAAAGCTGGGTGTAAGGGGACATAACGCCCCGATAGCCTTCGCACCTCGCGTTTATCTGTCGGTGTCACCGTGCTGGAGGACCGAACGGAAATCAGCGCGCGGTGGCTGTCCTTCGAGTCCCTGCAGGACCTCGCCAGGAGCTCAAGTGTTTCTATTGATTTACACACGGAAACACGAAGAGTTTGCTGAGAGCAGGGCTGCGTATGCAGAGCGAGGCGTCTCGCTTGGCTGTGGTGCATGACAGAAGCCATACAGTGCCGTGTTTGATAAATGTGGGCCCGGAGAAGAATTCCAGTGAGCATTCTTAACCACAGCCCTCGTGCTGGCTGCTGGATAAAGCGCTTCAGTGGTGTTTGCAGTCATCCGTCACATTGCTCGGTGACCTTCATTTGAAAACATTCACTTTTTATTATATTATATTTGAAATTATTCACTTCGTATGTAGCTGTCCATTACACTGGATAACTACAAATAATTCTTTCTAAATTCTAGTACTGATAATACTGGCACGGACAATAGATCAACAGAACGTGGAAGCCTGGTCATACAGGCTCTGGGCAGCCTGGTCTGGTGGTTGGTGACCCTGCACATAGCAGGAGGGTTGAAACTAGATGATCATCGTGGTTCTTTTCAACCCAGGCCATCCTATGATTCCATTCTATGATTCTATGATACAGACATTCCGTGTCTGTAAATCTGTAAATCCACATCGAGCAAATAGTTTTCACCAGCTCCCATCCTCAATACCACACATGCACTGTTGTTCCAAAAATGCCTAATGGTTTTTAAAGGTGTGTTTGTATTAACTCTGTGCAATGTTTAGATTATGTTTTGGCCAGCAAGATTAGCGTTTTAAATTTGTTGTAAAGATTTTGCCTGTGTTACTAAAAAAACCAACCAAACAAACGTGGTTGTGTCAATGATAAATGGATTTCTGGTAAACAAATCTCTCAGGTAAGCATGTCAGATAACATTTTCAGTTATACGGATCTGTGATCCTAAGTAGATACATCTGAAAATTCTGCCTCTAGGATCACAGCTGTTCAGAACTTTAAGTTACAAGGGAAAGGCAGAGCTTGCTCAAAGCATGGCAGCTTTCTTGTACGAAAATATTTTACTGATTATATACAGTACGTCAATGCACTCTGCTTGTCGAGCTGTCACTTCAACTGGCAGTTGAAGTGGCAGTTCCCTCAGTTAACGTCTTTAGTTCATCAGCTGCAAGCCTTCTTTCTTCTTCAAGGAGTACCATAAGGAAATTATGTAAACATCATGCCAAGGATTTTAGTCTCTCAAATAAGGGAGAAAATGCATGTAAGTGCTAATTTTACATGAATATTTTGCATTCTGGAGAAGTTTCTGAAATGGTTTTATCCACCGGTACAGATTTCATTCAACATTTTCTATTTACAAGATGCTGTGTCTCTATTACTTAATCAGGGAGAGACCTTTGAGAAGGTGCAGTTTTCCAGTCAGTAACATAGCATGAGTTAGCATGGTAGGGAAGACTAATAGTGCTTTGTTAAAATACATTTTTATAGTACATGAGTTATTGTGCCAGGCCAGTGTTTGGCATTTGAGTATCAAATTGAAAATTTCTGGGTTGCTCTTCTAGTTTTGTAGATTTTTGTTGTTGTTAGTTTTCTTTGATGATGGTTACACTTTGTAGACTCAAAAGAACACAGGCTTGCAACTTCTACCAAAATCAGTAGGAATCCCAGCCTGTTCATACTTTAGTTACGTGACTTTATTTTTTCACCACTGTAGTAGCTTTTAATAATTATTAATTACAGCAAATTTTTACTTTTTTCTTAGTTATAATTAGGTGAATATAAGAACCATCTGTAGCCCAGTAAAAGCTGGGCTACAGCAATGTTTAAATGCTAAAAGGAGAATGGCCTTTGTGAATCAAATAGAATAGCCATAAAGCAGGCTGTTATCAGGGATGACGTTGCCAAGAATCCTTAATGGAAAGTAAATTCTCAAGTGTTGTGCACAATACAAGTGTAACCATGTTGCCTTGTTGAATAAAAAGAGTAATGAAATTCACAGATCTGTCTCACTTTCCAATAGATGAATTCTTTAGCCAAACAATTAAGCTGGTATCCAAATTTAAGCTTAATAAATACTCAAAAAAAAAAAAAAAAAAATACTGCTTCTTGGTTCAAAGCAAAGGTTTAAGCTTGGAATTCAAGTATGAAAATATTGTTTCCATTGACCATCTAAGAGATTTTATCCTAGGCAATGCTTAATGTACTTTGGCTCCATTTTCGAAGTAAGAGAGGTGTTATCAGTAAACGTTGAGGCAGACATGTGAAGTTCCATGAAACAGACTGTATCCAACTTCAATGATTACAAATTTAAAATCCCTTTAAAAAGCAGTTTCCTTTACAGAAAACTTTTCAACCACTTGCTATTGGATGCTTCTGGCACCTGTTTCCTTTTTAGTGCCTTGTGAGAGGGGAAGAGAAATGCACGAGTCTTGCAGGGTTCAAGTTTACCTGGAGAGAAATAAGTAAAAACAGTAGAAATGAAGTAGCTGTTACTTATCTCGTTGCTTAAGAAGTATTCTATGTGCATGACTGTCATAAGGTTGTGTGCAAAGGCTTTATTATTGTTATTTTCCTTTACTTGTCATTACCTTGGTCACCTAGACTGGCAAGTGAAGCTTACACATCTTCACACTGCTGTGAGTCAGCGGCCTCCAAGCAGAGAAGGAAATGAAGGAGCATATAATACGTAGTATATTGATGACACTATTCTTCAGGAATCTAAATTGCTAGTATGTGAAATTCTGTCAGACAAGTATTTTTTCCTCTACAAAGGTGAAGATGAGTATGAGCCTCAGCAGATGGGGATCAAAAAGCAGAGTGGAAGGAAGATGGATACTCTCATGTATCGTGTGAGACTTCCTGGGTGTTGCTGGAAATTCAATAGTGATTTTAATTGTAGCTGTAGAGGTAAAAGTGACACAGTTTGTCTTAAGTTGTCACAACAGGTCTGGAAAATGTTTCAAAGTATGTTATCTTTTGAGGTACCTTGCTTCAAGAAATGTGAATGCCTCTTGCCAGTTACTGGCACTTAAACGAATATAATTCATAGGCAAATTATCTATTTTTTTTCCTGTCTTGTCAAGTTCTACTTCATGTTAATTGTCTTCAACATGTCAGTCCCTTTTCCTCTCTCCACGCATGCATACAAGCATACTGTTTCCCAGTGTACTAAAGGCTGCGAAGAGTAAGCCTTGAAGTGACTTCAAGGAAAAACAGCGTGAGAGAGGAGCAGCCTGACAGACCTTATTGCTGTAAGCTGGTGCAGTTGTCAGAAGGTACTTAGTTCTCAAGCAGTCCCTTGTAGGAAGTGCAGCTGCAGCAGGCAGTGCCAAACAGCAGGTGGCTGCAGTGTGCACTTCCCGTCAGTTGCAGAGCAGCTCTCTGAAGGTGGATTAACACTCATTGCAAACAACTTGTCATTTAAGATGCCCTGTAGAGCAACAACTGGCATTTCCTGGCCATTGCTGTCTCTGGATCAGATATGTAGAGCTGAACTGCTCCTGCACACACAGGGCCCGGTGCAGCAGCTATGTCTGCTGCCTGTTAAATGTTCAGCACAGAAACTTGGCTGCTCCCATCACATGCTGACAGCAGCCAAGAAGCAGAAATAGCTCACAACCACTTTCCCCACCCTCCTTTTCTAAGTAGCATGCAGAGAGATATAAGGCCAGACAAGTCTGGGCAAAATAATTTGCTAAGCATACTGTAGTTGTAAGTAGGAAGAACAAAACTTAGGACTCCTATCAAGACAGCCTTTTCCTCTGGGCTCCTTCTGGTCAAATTGCTGTGCAGCAGTTGGTCTGCAGTAAGATCCTGAGATAGGTCTCCATATGACAGTCATGTGTAGAAGTTGCAGTTGCTTTCTCGTTTGGAGAAGTACTCAGCAATGATCTGCTGCTTTCAAACATCAAAGAACTTAACACAATTGCTGCAGGCAGCTTCTTAATCCCTAGGCAATCATGCAGCACTTTGACTAGCACCACCATTCAATTAGGCATCTGTGGCTGCTGTACTGCTCCCCTCTATCACTGACAACTTTTCTGACTGCTTAAACAATCATATCCTTCCTTGAAAGTCCACTGGGTTTTCCTAATTTGATCATGCCAGGTATTGAGACTTTTTTTGAGTGTTAAAAAAGTGTTTTTCTTGAAGTGAACATAAACATAAGGCTGCAGCTCACAGGTCAAAAGTGACACCGATTGTGTTTAAATCCTGAAATAACTATATT